ATTTTGGAAATGGCTGGTTTGGGATACTGTCTATTAAAGGTTGTTAACATGAAACTTTGCTACTTTATAAAGGTATTATAATACCTTTTTTTTAGCCTATTATAATTTACATACATTTTATTATTTAAACTTTTCTTAAGAGTTTAACATTAATGCTAATCCCTGAATCATGAATGACAGAGGAGTTATGGTATATTTGTCCAATCTGAGTAAAATGTACTTCAGAGATGAAGATGCATGAGTGCAGAGCCATCACAGTGGTTACATTGATTCACTAATTTCTATTTTTTAGTTATCCATCTATCATCTATCAATTTTTTTAATGTCAGATTAGTTTGTAATAATATTTAGGTTTTCTTTTTTTCTTTCTCTTTCAACTCACTCTAATGTACATTTCATTCCATTCCCAACTAGTGAAGTGAGTGACTCCACTTTTGTAACTCTATTTTTGTAATGTCCAGTTATAACTGGCAATATCTTGCTAAAACTCCATTTTATATAACTGAAGTGATCATCTCATCCTGCCCCCACTCTCCGTTGGTTAATGGGTACCCCCCTTTTTGCATACTAAGCAACTAAAACACCCCTAGATGAATGCCTGTGCTAAAGCACGTACTCTGAGATGGTTATCAAACCTAACTCCCATCACCCCTCGATGAAGGTCTGTGCTGAAGCATGTAGTCCAAGACCTTGAAACTGCAGTTTCTGCTTCTGTATTATCGCTTGCTTGCCTGCTTTATAAAAACCTACTTAAAATCAGACCAGTTGCTGCAGCATAGGAGCGCACTTCAGCTCCCTGCAGTTGGCTAGTCTAAATAAATTTCTTTTATCCAAAAGTGGACATGATAGTGTGGCTATTATTTTAAACTGAACCCATAACACTAGTGGACTCAAACTGCTCATTAAAAGGTCACAATAGTCGCCACACTATTAATCTAATTTTCAATTCACAGTCCTAATCTAGTAGACCTATCAGAAATGTATTACAAATTTGATTTCTCCCTCCTGAATACACTTCTTCCTTTGGTTTCCAGGTTACTAATGCTCTCTTGATTTCTTATGTCACTGCTTCCTTTTTTCTTTCTTTTTTCCCTTCACATAAATTAATATGTGTCTACCCTATAGTTAACTAGTGGGTCACCCTCCCTCCTCCCAACACCCCTGGTAATCATCAAAGAATATTTCTATTTTTTGTGAAGTCTTTCCTTGACTTTTTGCAATAGTACTCTCATATAATATTTGCCTTTTTGTGACTAACTTCACTCGGCATGATGACCTCCAAGTTCATCCACAGTATGAGACTTTCCACAGATTCATCTTGCTTTTTAATGCAGTATCCTACTATGTGTATGTATCATTGTTTGCTGATCTATTCTTCCACTGATTGGCATTTAGATTGTTTCCATCTTTTTGCTATTGTGAACAGTGTTGTGATGAACACACACACACACACACAAAACCCTCAATGCCACTGAGTCAATTTTGACTCACAGCAACCCCTCCTTGGGTTTCCAAAGCGGTATCATTACAAAAGTAGATTGCCCAACCTTCTTTCTGAGGAGTGGCTGGTGGGTTTGGTTAGCAGTCAAATGCCTTAGGCACTACACCACCAGAGCTCCCACATATCTATCCATCATCTTTTAAAATGGTGAATTAACATTTGGGTTACAATTTCTACTATATATGTAATATCAGTGTTTTTCAAAGTAGGACTTGTGATTAGTATACAGTTGTGAAGACAAGTGAGCTACAATGTAAAAAATAATAATAATAATGTAATAGGAAAACAGCAGAGTACACTGCATATTGTGTTACTCACTGCCACAGCCAATTTTTAAGGCTTATGACCATACATCATATTATATATCTAAAAGAGACTGATTCTTCTAAGGAGGATAAGGTTTAGTTCTGAAGTCAAACCCTTTTTATAGTGCTCAGTTATTCCTCTAATGTGGCTCTATTTACACCACTCATCCCAATAAGATTTTACCGACCCTGGAATTAAACCCCAGAACTTTATGTCAAGATGAAGTAAGTTAAGACTCAGATGCTAAAAGCCAAAATAGTGTTCAGCTACCAGAAGACAGCATCCAAGGTCTGAAAACGTGCCAGAAGAGTGGCTCAGCTACAACAAAACTCCCACACCTAGAATTTGGAGACAAGCATAGTAAAGCCTATATACCTGTGCAGTAGCTTAAAGTCTTACACAATTCAGTCAGCTCAGAAACTCCCAAGTTCTTCCAGAATATGAATAACTCTTTTGTAGGTAGGTGATCTATTGCCCCTTAGTGGTGGCTTGATCAAAAGGTGGAGATGTATAGTGGTAAGGGAACTCTAGTGGCATAGTGCCTTTGGCATTTGACTGTTAACCAAGGAAGGAAGGTTAGGCAATCTACTTCCGTAGTGATACTGCCTTGGAAACCCAAGAAGGGGTCGCTATGAGTTGGGTCCAACTCTACAGCAGTGGATTTGGTTTGGGTTTTTAATACAGTGGTAGACCTTGGGGGTGGGATGGAATGGACTGAAATACTGGCATATCAGAATTGGGTAACTTCAGGCCTAACTTGAAACTCCATTTTGAATTAAACTAAGATGTTCCCCTCTACTCGACGGCACATAACAACAACAACAACAACAACAACTTTTCTAAAGAAATTAATCAGCCTTTTTGTCAGTTTTACAAGTCTGGATTTCTAACCTGGATAATTACAGTCTGGTAAGAATGTTCATGCAATTGGCCTCAGAGAATGCTCCTCGGTCAGCAGGAAAATAAGAAATACAACTAATAATGTTAAAGGAAGTTAGAAAGTGTAAATAACTTTACAGCTAAATAGGTATATATCACGTCTTAGTTCACAACATGACTTCCAAACTAAAATTTCACACACTAGGATTTTTCACTGTGTTTCTACTACCCCTTTGTAAATTTGTAACTAAGGTAGAACTAACTTTGTTAGCAGAAGAAAAGATTGCAGATGTGACAGAAAATTAGCCCCTGACAGAATACTTTGTTAAACAACTCTGAGGATATAACAACCTCAGAATGCAACAAATAAACTTACTGACAATGTTTAGCAAACACTTTGTAACTTTGGCTATGCTTCCTTTACCTCTGCTTTGTGCCTGTGAGCACAAATCTTTGATTCAATAAGTGTTTTCACTAAGACACCGCCATTACTCTCCTCTGACCATAAAACCTCAATTTACAACTCTTTAATTGGTAAGTTTCTACTATTTGAAAGTTGCTTTTATGTTACCTAGTTTTATCTGTATTCATTATTTATCTAACATGTTTCATTGTTTCTTGTCATTACAGTATCTATTACTCTAAGTATAGAAGGAAAATTTAATACATACTTTATACTGTTCAGTATCATTGCATAAGGCCCACAAATACATCTACTAATTCACTAATTGTTAATTG